CACTGTACCTTTCATGGTGACAGTTTACACCTTTTTTTTTTTTTTTAAGAATTACTTATTTATTATTATCTTTTAATTTGACGAGAGGGAGAAAGAGAGAGAGTGAGAAAGCAAACAGGCAGGTCCAGGACTTGAACCATGGTAGGTCATGTGGGAATCCAGCACTTTAACTACGATGCTACCTGCTGCCCCCCACACTCTTATTATTTCTGTTCTTTCAGCTCTTATTCTTCTCAGTAGCACCTATGAAAAGAATAGAGAAGACACAGACATGATAGCCTTAATGCAGCTCTGATTAAGTATGTGGATATGAATATCATTCAGTTATTTTTAGTATTGTTTTTATTTTATTGCCAAGGGGCACATATGCTGACCAGAGAGAGAGAAAGACAGAAGGAAGGCACCCTCAGTGGGGCATAGTTGCACTATGGTCCTCTTTCCTCCATTTTTTTCATTCCATCAGCATTTGGGGCACACACACACGTGCCCAGCATGTTTTTCAAGCTGCCAGGGTCAGACTTGGGAGATTTTGCCCCCTATACACAGTGCTAAACTGCTGCACTGCAATAATAAACACAGAAATCTTTTCAAGCCCCATGTTTTTTAAATAAATACAAAGATCATTTATTTTTCTGGATGAGAATATTTTAATCAATTATGGGATATGTCATAGAGCTTAACTTCAAACTATATATATTTATCATTCTAGAACTTAATTTCCAAATTTAATTTTTTTAATTTAATTTAATTTATTATTAGTTTTTTGTTTGTTTGTCTCTCCAGAGAGAGACAGAAAGTGAGAGAGCAAGCCACCAGGTCTAGGACTTGAACCATGGTCGGCCATGTGGGAGTCCAGCACCTCAACTACCATGCCACCTGCCAGCCCCCCGTTTTAATTTTTTTTTAAAACTTTTTTTGAAAGAATTATTTTATTTAACTTTATTTATTTTAATTTGACCAGAGAGGAAGAGAGAGAGAGAGAAAGTGAAAAAGCAAGCTGCCAGGTCCAGGACTCGAACTGTGGTCGGCCATGTGGGAGTTCCAGCACCCTTAACCACCATGCCACCTGCTGGTTCCCTGTTTTAATTTTTTAACCTATCATCATCCTGACCTTTCCCCATTAGACCACTGGCGAAACTTAATTACAGAATTTTTAGCATTGCAGCACTTGGGAAATGATAGTAATAGGATTTTAAAGGTTGAGAAAGTGTGGGTTTTAGTTGTAGAGTTTTTTAAAATATCCCTAGGGAGCATATGTCTCCATTAATTATGAACATTTGAGATAAATCTATATTTCTTCTTCTGAATGAAGATTTTCTTTAAAATTACACTTCAGAATTATCTCAAGCTGTAGTTTTCATGTAGTTCTTTTTCCATTTATATTGTATCACCGAGACATTTAAGTTGGTTGAAGAGAAAGCTGTTTGAAAAGTCATTATAGGGGACCAGGAGTTAGCGTAATGGCTATGTCGTTGGACTCCCACGTAGTCGACCGCAGTTCGCGTCCCGGACCCGGTGGCTTAAAACTCACGCCAGGTGTGTGTGTGTGCACGTGCCCAAGATCCCAAGAGGAGGAGAATGGAGGAGAAGGGATTGCAGCGTGACCATCCCCCCTGGGGGGGTGATTTCTCGCTTTCTGTCACTATGTCTCTGTCTGGCAAGCACACGCGCCCTATAGCGAAAACCTCTCCAAAAAAAAAAAAGTCATTATAAAACAAATAAGAGCATATGCATATTTTTATTCTTTATTAGTACACAGTTTTATTTTGTAATGATTAAAGTATTATCTGTATAAGTAGAAGATTTGGGAAACAGGAAAAGTATAGTAAGTATCTACAATGTAAGGGGAATGTTTGATCTCACACACAAAAAAATCAAGCAGAACGGCACATGTTCCACAAGAGACTAAAGTTAAACAACCGACATTGCACACATCTGAGTGTGAACAGGGGAGATGTTTGTGTCACCAAGGAGGCAGATAGTCACAAAATAAACATTCATGTGACTGCCAAGCCCAGGGCACTTTAATTTGCTTTCCGTTGGGCATGAACTGGAAACGTTTTCATTCTGGACATAATTTTCCCTCTGTTACTTGATTTGGCACACCATAGGTCATTCTGGAAAAACACATATTGAAGTTTTAAATTTTTATTGGACTTTGGACCTGTACAGGAAGGTTTACTACTGGTATCATTCTGAATTGCTGGGTTCTAATTTTGGTGAGATTGTACCAATGCCATGAAAGACTTAGGTGCTTTAAAAATATTTCATAAATCCACCTTCTTATTGATACTAGAAAAAGCAGAAGAATGAAAAGGTGAATGTGAAGTTCATTTTTCACAAAATCGAATCCCCATCAGCTTAGAGAGGGTTGGAGAGAGATTCGGCTGCAGCAGGATTCAGTAATTTGCATCTGAAGTGGCTTGCTGGCTTTATTTCAGTAAATTCTGGTCGACTGAAGAATTTAAATTAATAATCAGAGTTGTGAAAGAGTGAGGCTATGTGAATTCTGATTTTTTTTTTTTGAAATATAACATTTATTTTAAAATGTGGTAAGTCCACTGCCTTGTTTTGGGTTCTTCGTTGTCAGTGATATTGCCATCCTTAAGAGTTATTTTCTAACTAAGTAGTCTTAAAACATAGAATTAAAGAACTAAAAATAGGGTCAGTTAAAAAATCAGGGCCAGCTGTTGGTGTGGTGGTTAAGACAGCTGAAACCCCCCTAGCCAACTGCAGAGTTTGAGTCCCAGACCCTGCAGCTTTAGGAACAGAGCATGTGCATGCATCCATGCTCAAAAAAACCCGAAGGGAGAAATGGAGAAGGGATTATTCCATGACCATCGTCCATATGGGAGCTGCTTTCTCATTTTTCTGTCTCTCTCTCCAGCAAGTGCTTGTGCCCTTTAGCAAGTTAAAAAATTAAATCAAATTTTAAAAATCAAGCATAAGTCTTATTAATGCAGGTAGTAAAACTAAGACTGAAAGGGGACCAGCAGGTGGCATAATGGTTACGTTGCTGGACTCCCATGTAGTCAACTGCGGTTCAAGTCTTGGACCCGGCGTCTTAAACCTCACACTGGGTGTGTGTGCATGCTCAAAATGACCAGAGAATGGAGAAGATATAGTGACCTGGCCATCTCCCCCATTTTCCGGCTCTCTGGCAAGTGCATGCACCCTATTGCAAAAATCTCTCTTAAAAAAAGGAAATGAAAGCACTTGGAATGCTACCTCCAGTTCGACATAATTTTTAATATCAGTCACAATTAAATGAAAAGAGTCTGAACACTTTTTGGGTAATGAGAATTGAATTTTATTTGCTCTCTGATTAAGTAGAAGGTATTTGTTTTTAATTTGATATTACATTTAAGGGATGTAATCAATAAAAAATTGAAACTTTAAACCTGCATCTGAATAAAGGTAAACTGCACCTCCCTTACTTACAATCTTCTTTACCTTACACCAAAGTTTTTTCTCTTCATTGAGTACATTTCTAGTACTGTCTTTTCCCAAGTTTTCTTTTGCTAGAGGAAAAAAAACATACAACTAGGATTGGTAATTTTTTGTTGTCGTTGGTATATTTTAGCAAATTGTGTTGCTTAATACTTTCTTTCACTCTAATCACATAAAGCCTTTAAAATAGCAAACATTGATAAAAGTATTAAAGGGCCTTAGTAATTAAGGGACTAGACTCCCACATGGCCAATTGCAGTTAGAGTCCCGGACTTGGTGGCTCGCTCTCTCTCATTCTCTATCTCTCTGGTGAGTGTATGTGCCCTATAACAAAAACAATAATAATTATTTTTAAAAACATTAAATAAAGAAATTGAGAAAGTCATGATGTATCTTTCCATGTTTTTCTATGCAAAAATGCGTCCTGACTTCCCTGACGACCCAGTACATTTGGCAAAACAAGGAATCTTAGAACAATGCTGTTTAAACACCTTACCATCGCAAGAAAGCTCATCATGATCCCTTTGCCCCTTGGAAAGTCATTTAGCCTTTCTAATGCTCATTGATAAGGTCACTGCCTTTTTGGTTTTGAGAATCAAAATGTGACATAGGGTTGTTGTCGACTTAAGAGTCAACACTTGGGGAAATTTTAGGGTTGGAGTAGGTAGCTGTGGTACCTTTTCCAATCCCAGCTTTGCGTCTGGTCTCTGGATACTAGGTCACTGTGAAGTTGGTGACTATCACCTTGCCACCTTTTGAGCGGCAAGTTTGGTCAGTCATTAAAGGTAGATGCTGGGTAAAATATATCAATAGAACAATAGTAAGCAGAAAATATGAAGAAAGTATACATTGTTTTCTCCATTGAATGAATTATTAACAAAATTTTTTCTCCTAAAAGAAAAAAACTTGTCTTTTTAGCTAAACCTTCATTGACCTTAGTCCTGATCTTTTTGTGGTCAACCATAAATTTCTTGGCAATTTTTGCTAAAATAATTTTAAGATAATAACCTCCCTTATGTGCTTAAAAATGTTCAGCCAGCTTTAGAAAGGGCTTTTGGTAGGAAATTTATCATTGAGTCAGCATGACTTTATTACAGAGTCTGGAAAAAAATATATACATACACACGGATATATATATATATATCTATATCATACAAAGTAATACAGTAGTATCTATGTATATGGAAGTAAACATTTAAAATTTTTGGTATTTTTATTAAACAGTAACTGGTTTAGCTCAAGAATTTGTAAACCTGTCTTTGTGTTATAATCACCCCAGAGATTCAAGGTCTAAGCATAGGCCCAACTCTCTTTTTAAAATAAATATTCCAGAGTACGTTTGACACAGCCAGTCAAGTATTAAGAAATAATTTTCTTAGCAGGCATGCATATGTATGTGCCCCAAATCCCGCGAGAATGGAGGAGACGGGATCGCGGCATGGCCATCCCACCTGGAGGGTGATTTCTCACTCCCTCTCACTATCTCTGTCTCTCTCTCTCCTCCTCTTCTTCTCTCCTTCCCTCCCCGGCAAGTGTACCTGCCCTATGGCAAAAGTCTCTTAAAAAAAAAAAAGAATTTTCTTAATTTACTGTCAAACCATAGTGCTAGACAAAATAAAATCCTGAGCATTTTCACCATTAGAAGACTAAACATGCTTTCCAGGATGATAAGTGTTCAATCTAATCAAATTCTATCGGAAAATGATCATCTCATTTTGTCCCATTCATGCGAAGAGTTTGGAAAAACTCTTTAAATTGATCCTAATGAGATTTTATATATGTCATCTACACCACCCTCATGAAATAATATTAAGAAACAAAAACTTCTAGAGAACAGTGGATGCTTTTAGTTTGCGTCCTTTCTGTGTTGCATTTCTCTCTGCCGGGTACCCTGAAAGCATTCGATAAACCATGAACAAGCTTGAGATCCAGTCGCCTCCCTGGGAACGGCCAGACTTCAGCTGTTTACATTACCAGTCTCCTCCTCACCCTTTCTGTTTGGATAAAGGCCCCTGCTCTGGAGAAACTGTCCTTGAAAGCAATACTTCTCATCCTAAGTGTTTACATCCATGTTGGATACTCTCTTGTTACCTTTGTGAATACAGTCGCTTGTTTATCGTAGGCTTTTTGCTCAATCAGTAAATGCTAACAAAAATTGCTTATTTTTTAAAGATCAATTTACATAAAATATATTCTTTAACTAGTATGAAGTACTCCTTTGTGTACAAGATCATGACGATCCAGCTATTGATGTCTGTAAGAAGCTTCTTGGAAAATATCCAAATGTTGATGCTAGATTGTTTATAGGTGAGTAGCAAATACATTCTGTACTCTTGTGCTTTGATAATACTCAGTCTCAGTCAGCTCTACATTAAACTGTAGATTAAGGTGTTGGCCACCCATTGAAGTTATCAACATATTTGCTTTAAACTTGTCTGTTGGAATAGTGACAGATATTTACATTCCTTTTGAGAAAAGTTATAAACACAAAGTTTTCTTTTATATCTGGGGTTAGCAAGATATTATGAAATACTGTACTTTATGCATCAATCAAATAGGAGAGTCTTTTTTGTTTCTTTAATATTTTCAATTTGTGGCCCTTTTTTTTTTGTATCTCATTGACTAAAATTTGGAAAGATCAATATAATTCACTTTTATTGCAAGATTTTATTCTTCCAAAAGTCTTAAAACTTATTCTAAAGACTTGTAGAACTGTACTTACCAACGTGTGTTTGTTTAATTTACCAGAGGGTGTATGTGCTCCTTGTGGGAGGAAAGAGGAAAAGTGAAAAAGCACCCCACCATGGGGAATGATCACACCACATACATCAAGAATCCCTTCTCCTTCATTTTTCCCTCCCATTGGGGTTTTGGGCAAACACACACATGCTCCAGGGTATGTCTCAAGCCACTAGGTCCGGGACTCAAAATTGCAGTTGGCCATATGGAATCCATCTACCTTAACCATCACACCCCAGGCTGTCTTTGTCTATGCTGTTTTAATTACGATAGTTTCAAAATGAGTTCTATAGCTATTTTCTTGTCATTTTTTTAAAAATCGACAAGTAAAATTTGTATATATTTGTGGTATATGGCATATTTTTACATTTGTATTATGGAATAGCTAAATCAAGCTACTTAACATATGCATTACCTCACATACTTATTTATTGGTGGCAAGAAATCTACTCTCCATAATTTTCAAGAATACCATATGTTGTTATTAATTATAGTTGCCATGTTATACAAGTACCATTAAGTATCCATTTATAATTACTTTGTTACAATTTAATTAATCCCCACCTATATACATATCTTCCCCCTTCAATACATAATTGTTAATACAAGAACTTAATTAGAAAACTGAAATAGTGAATTTTCAAAGATAAATAATACAGTCCTTTTAAGAATGAACAGGTTTTTTTCTAAATAAGTTAGAAAATGTGGGATATAATATGGGATATAAAATTAATTGAAAATGTATCTTTTAAATTACTAGATATGCAAATACTTTTCCCTTTTCTCTACCATATCTCTGTATAATAGAAAGTATTTTCAGTGTTCCAAAAATCCTTCACTGCTGTACCTTTACATTTTTAGGTGGCAAAAAGGTCGGCATTAACCCTAAAATCAATAATTTGATGCCAGGATATGAAGTTGCAAAGTATGATCTTATATGGATTTGTGATAGTGGAATAAGAGGTGAGAATTTCTTTTTTACTGTTTAAAAGTATCTATTTTATGATAAAATGCCAACGTCATCTGGAAGCACATTATCAAGTCTTGTGGTAATAGGTGCTGTTATATTAGTAGCTTAAAATGCAAATTTGAAAACTTAGTATGTGTAGTATTCCTACAAATTAATCTGGACCATTATAAATCTGTTAACTCATGGTCAAAAATTGTTCAGTCTTTATATTTGTCATGGTAAATTTTTACCATCATATACTTTTTATGGTTTTTAGTGTGCTCATCTTGGTTAAATACAGTCTCACCCCATTCCTGTTCATTGTGAGATCAGATAGATACCTGTCATATCTGCCGAGAAAGTAGAGGCTCTTTTCTTAAGGTGGGAGAGTCGAGAAGCTGTCACAAGAACTGAGGTCCTCTGGCCTCTACTGAGGTCCTCTGGCCTCTCTCTTCCTATAAACCTTCCACTAGGACACAGTGGAAGTTCTGACCTGCCAGAGGTAGTGGGGGTTGGACATTTTCAAGGTATATCCTGCATCTGGTTCATGTTAGCTATATATCAGCTAGAAATGTAGAGAGTAAATTAGCTTATCATAAATGAAGTTTTTGTCTTCTCAGAACAGTGATTAAGAATTATTTCAGGGAACCAGTAGTTAGCGTAATGGCTATGTCGCTGGACTCCCACGTAGTCGACCGCGGTTCGCATCCCGGACCCGGTGGCTTAAAACTCACGCTGGGCGCGTGTGCGTGAGTGCCCAAGATCGCGAGAGGAGAATGGAGGAGAAGAGATTGCAGCATGACCATCCCCCCTGGGGGGTGATTTTTCGCTTTCTGTCTCTATGTCTGTCTGGTGAGCGCACGCGCCCTATGGCAAAAACCTCTCTCAAAGAAAAAAAAGAATTTTTCATAAGATCCAAATGTTAAATTTATTTTTTATTAAGAATTTAAGAACTATTTACAAGTATATTTTACTTTAGTGAGCATTTTACTCAAAATTGTTTTTCTTTCCCCCTCCCCACTTTGTTTTGTTTTGTTTTATTTCGTTGTAGTAATTCCAGACACACTAACTGACATGGTTAATCAAATGACAGAAAAAGTGGGCTTGGTTCACGGCCTGCCTTATGTAGCAGACAGGCAGGGCTTTGCTGCTACATTAGAACAGGTAAGTGCGGTGGTTAGTATTCCTGTTACAATATCCCAGAAACTTGAGGCTCTCTAGGTCTGAAAGTTGGGACTGGTTACCTGAGTTAAGTGTGTTGCATCTGTTTGGGAACCTGCTGGGTAGTACAGTCCTCAAGGTAAGAGTTGCTACTTTCGATCGTGAGGAAATTCTTTGCCCCCTGGGATCGCTGTCTGGTATTACTGAACTGACTTCTACCCCTAGCTGTGAACAGCTGTACACAGGAATGTCTGTGGCCTTATTGTCAGCTGAATGGAACATATTCTTTGAAAAACAAAAAGGTGAAAAGCTCTCTCTTTAAAAAAAAAAAAGAAATATCTCTTCCATAAGCAAGAGAGAGAGAGACAACCCCCAGCAGGGCCTCCATGCTGTTGAGTAAAGAAACTCTGGGTAGCTATTTTAAAATATGGTAGCTTGTTGTACTTTGGTTTTAGAAATATCCAAGTTGGTAGGTCAGTGATCAACATCTCCCAGAACACACTCACTTAGTCCCTTGAAGTCACTCTGCCGTATTTAGAGATCGAATATGGATAGGCCAGGGAAATCATTGCTCTCTGTGAAGAAATTCGGGGAGCCTTCATCCCACCTCTGTAAAACCTCACTAAGGAAGTCAGATGTGTGCTTCTGGTCTCTTAGGAAGTTAGGTTCTATCCCATCCCACGAACACCAGGGCTTCATTGGCATCTGGGCGTAGGCTTGGTAGCAGAATCATGTTCTTAATCACCTCATAAAATTCTATTATTTCTTCACTGTGCAAGTAAGTCTTGGCATCGGGAAAGATCACTGCTTTTTATTTCAAGCTAATGAGAAAGGTAGCTGTCAGAGGTATAAATAATAAATAGACTTGTGTGTCCAATAAGTAGGTGATGACAGTCTTTTTCTGCTATCAATCGATTAATTTGCATATCATAATTTTAAGGCATTGTCTGGGGAGAGAACAGCAAAATGAGAGACAGAATTTTAGTATATGCCTTATTTACAAAAACTGAAAGGGGGAAAATTAGGAAGAACTTAGTTACTTAGGGGCTGGAAGCAACTAAAAAGGAAGAAATGCAAGTAAAGGAGCTAAGAAATAGGATTATTCAGAAGATTGATAGACCTGTAGGTATTGGAAGCATGACATGCAGGTATATGTGGGGAGGGCTTCCAAAAAATTCATTGAGAATAGAATTAAGCTATGAGTTTATTTTGGTGCCAAAAAACCCCTGAATTCCATGTAGTACTTTTTATAATCATATTCCAAAAAGTTTTTGAAGAGTCCTCTTGTATATGTAGGTATATTTACCAAAATAAAATAGGTAGAGGTGTGTGTGCAATTATATAAAATATTTTTAAGATCTTATGTTTGTGAGTGATACATGTTATGTTTTATTCACTTTTTCCTTAAGAAAGAGAGAGACCATCTCACCATCAGGTTTCCTGTACCATGATCTACGCCCCAGCTTCAGCTGGCCCTAGATCATGAGCACGCGTGTGCCTGGCATCTTCAGGGGTCTCTAAATACAAATTGGGGGCCTCCTTGTGTGGGTTCAGTTTGCAGAGTGTCACGTATTACTGCTACACCACCATCCAGCCCCCATTACCTGACATTTTGTCTCATTTTAAATACAAATTAAATTTTATTTTGGTAAATTCTTGAATGTTATAGTTTTAGAGAGGACAGTATTTGAGCATAGAAAAGGCTTTTCCTTCTAGAGGTAAATATTTCTTTACAGTGGTGGTTACAGAAGAGCAGTCAGCCATATACATTACTGACTGCCTACTGTGTAAACACTGTGTAGCACTTGTTATATGTAGGTGGCTTATGTAGGGATAATAGGATATTCATTCCATCGTATTTAAAGAAAATCTTTGAAAACAGTTTGCAGGGGCCAGAAGGTGGTGTGGTGATTAAGGGCGCTAAATTCACACATGATCAAGCATGGTTCGAGTCCCAGACTTGGCAGCTTGCTTTCTCACTTTCTCTCTCTCTCTCTTTTTTTCCTCTCACTCTGTCCCTCTCTGGTCAAATGAAAAATAAATAAGGAAAAGAAGTTAAATGAAATAATTATTTTTTAAAAGTTTGCAGATACCATACTTTTAACAAAAAAAATTCTAACTGCATGCATTGTGTTTTTTGTTTTTTTCTTTTTTGGGGGCAGGTGTATTTTGGAACTTCCCATCCCAGGTCCTATATCTCTGCCAATGTAACTGGTTTCAAATGTGTGACAGGAATGTCTTGTCTAATGAGAAAAGATGTGTTAGATCAAGCAGGAGGGCTTATAGCTTTTGCTCAGTACATTGCTGAAGATTACTTTATGGCCAAAGCAATAGCTGACAGGTAAGAAAACTAAATTAGGCCAGAGTATTTTTAGTATCTTACTTCTGTTAGTTTATTTCTATGGATTAATGGATTAGAGCTTTTGTATTTTATTTGTTTATATTACTAATGAATATGAAATAGTGATCTTAGAAAGTAATTCATATTAATTACTAAGTGTGTACTAAAGAAACAATATTCTGATTCTTCTCCATTCTTTAAATTAATGTTGAAGTGATTAAAAGAAAGCTTCTCTCTGATCATGAATGTTCATTAATGTAGATGTAAATTTCTATCCGTTTCGGAAGAATTTAAACTATCAGTTCAGTCATGAGACAGGAGGTGAAAATTTGAAGACTGTCACTTCAGAACTTGAATTTCTCAGTAGACTATTTGATGTTTTACTAAGAAGCCACTTAATGATTTATACGATTGGCTTAGTGTTTTCTCTATCACAAAATGTTGATATGATTATAAAGGAGATCACTGCCTTTGTGATCATTTATGTAACATATGGTCTTCAAAACTGAAGCATGTTTTAAAACTTCTCTCCTAATGGTGTTCATGGTTATGGTTTCCTAGTGTGTCTCATGAGATACATTGTCTGTTTTTGGTTTCGTTTCTTGTTGAACATTCACGTATGTACGCACACACACATTTTCTCTCCCCTTTGGCGTGTAGTCATTAGATACTAGGCTATTCAATACAGTACCCTCTCCATTTAGTACTTTCAGGATAATTGCATTTAAAGGTTCTTAAACTGTAAACTAAGGAGGTTGTGGGTTTTTTTCTAGCTCTTTCTTAGATGGTACTGTCATGGGCCAGAGTGATTGTGAAGCATCCATAATATGTATGATACACCTAAAGTAGTATGCTAATCCCGAGGTCTAGGTTTGCCCTGAATACCAACAGTTGCTTAATTCTGTAGCGATTGATATTATAAATGCATAACCAATCATCATAACTTATTTTATAATTGCCTTACTTTTCAGAGGTTGGAGGTTTGCCATGTCCACCCAAGTTGCAATGCAGAACTCTGGCTCATATTCAATTTCGCAGTTTCAGTCCAGAATGATCAGGTAAATCAGTGGTCTTCTTTTTATACTTTGTTAAAAGTAAAGGAAGAGGGATAATTTTGATATGTCCTAATGTAGTTAATACATAGTAAATCATAGGATGTCAAATTTTCGTACATGATAGGGCTTTAGAAATTTGGTGGAAAATGGAAGTATGAGTTTAATTTGGTATACCTTTTGAAATCATACATTTTTTTTCATAATACACATTTTTCATAATATAAACTTTAGTTCCAGAAGATTGAATTTTACTTCTGTTTTAAAATAAATTTAACATCCAAATATATTTTCTTTGCTTTGTACCACTGAAAGCATTCAAAAAGATGTTTAGAGTGTCAATATTTTTAATATAATTTCTGCTTTCTAACTTTATGTACTTTGGTTAAATTTTAAATCTTCATCAGAATGTAGACCATAAACATTAATCTATAGGATTTTTTAATATGTAATAAAATAGATTTATTTTTTAAAAACTCTTATAAAGTAGGAGGGTTTCTTTAATATAAGAAGGTAAAAATGTTAATCATTTTAGAAAAAAAATGAATTAGTTTTGTTGCCAGGTTATTACTTTAAAGAAGCTCTTTCTTTTTTAGGTGGACCAAATTACGAATTAACATGCTTCCTGCTACAATCATTTGTGAGCCTATTTCAGAATGTTTTGTTGCCAGTTTAATTATTGGATGGGCAGCCCACCATGTATTCAGATGGGATATTATGGTATTTTTCATGTGTCATTGCCTCGCATGGTTTATATTTGACTACATTCAACTCAGGGGTGTCCAGGTATGTGGCTAGGCAAGAAATTGTTTGCGGCAATTTGATTGAACTTAAACTATCTTAATTTAGAAATGGTTGAAGAAAATCCATTTGAGCTATTCTTCAAGCTCCCCACTGAAGGTTAATATCAGGTTTAAACATTACTTCCCTAGAGGAATATTAATAGAACACTTAACTTGATTTGCAGCTTTCAGTGAGTTATATAGTCAGTTTATTTAAGGCTTTAAAAAAATGACATTAAGTTTATCAATGAGTATTCAAATTTAAGAATAAGTTAGGATAGAGACTTTTTAAAAAGAATTATTTTATTGAACTTTATTTATGTTTGTTTGTTTGTTTTAATTTGACCAGAGAGGGACAGGGTGAGAGAGTGAGAAGAGAAAGTGAGAAAACAAGCCACCAGGTCTGGGACTCGAACACCGGTCGGCCATGTGGGAGTCCAGCACCCTTAACCACCACACCACCTGCTGGCCCCAGGATGGAGATTTTTTTAATTATTATTTTTTTAATTGCCAAATGGTGCATGCTTTCACCAGCAAAAGGCAGTGAAGGAGAGAGAAAAAGCAGTCTCCACGGGGTGTGGTCATGCCACAATCAATTCTTATCCATTTCTCATCCTGTTGGGATTTGGGGCACTTGTGCACACATACATGCCCAGTGAGTTTTTCAGGTCACCAGGACTGGGACTTGAACTGCACAGTCAGCCATGTGGGATACGGCTCCCTTAATAACAAGGCTACAGGGCTGACTCAAATAGCAGTCATTTTAAGGCTTCTTCTACTAATAATTAACATTCTCTAAAACTCAAAAGCTTAGCAGTTAAAGTACCCTAGGCAGGCTGGCCCCATGTCCTAATGGTTAGAGAACAGATCCCACATGGCCGACCCCAGTTTGAATCCCAGTCCTGGTAGTTTGAAAATCACACCAGTCATATATAAATGCATGCCTCATGGGATAATTTTTCTCTCTCTCGCTCACTCTCCACTTCACCTTTCTCTGGCAGGCTCATGCTCCCGCAGTTAAAGTACCCTAGGCAGGCTGGCCCCATGTCCTAATGGTTAGAGAACAGATCCCACATGGCCGACCCCAGTTTGAATCCCAGTCCTGGTAGTTTGAAAATCACACCAGTCATATATAAATGCATGCCTCATGGGATAATTTTTCTCTCTCTCGCTCACTCTCCACTTCACCTTTCTCTGGCAGGCTCATGCTCCCTCTGGCAACAAAAAAAAAAAAAAAAAAAAAAAAGCTGAGGAAGCATGTCTGGTTTTATGTAGTATACTTAGAAGAGTGAAAGCCAGGAATTTCAGTATTTGTGTCCTTTTTTAAAAATTTATTTATTTATTTATTTTTATTCACTCATTGATTTTTTAATTTGACTGGAGAGAGACAGAGGGAAATGAGAAAGTAAGCAACCAGGTCCAGGACTCGAACCCTGGTCAGCCTTGTGGGAGTGTCCAGCGCCTTAACCACCACGCCACCTGGTGGTCCCCAGTATTTGTGTCTTTTAACAGTGAGTAAAAAAAAAATTTCTTTTCACTTCTAGGGTGGCACACTGTGTTTTTCAAAACTTGATTATGCAGTTGCTTGGTTCATCCGTGAATCTATGACAATATACATTTTTTTGTCGGCATTATGGGACCCTACTATAAGTTGGAGAACTGGTCGCTACAGGTTACGCTGTGGAGGTACAGCGGAAGAAATCCTGGATGTATAACTACAGCTTTGTGACTGTATATAAAGGAAAAAAGAGAAGTATTATAAATTATGTTTATATCAATGCTTTTAAAGATCTACCTTCAGTAGTTTTATCACATGTATGTTTTGGTATCTGGTCTTTAATTTATTTTGCATGGCACTTGCATCTGTGGAAAACAAACAAACAAAACACATCTGTAATCTTGGCCAAATCACTTTATTTTGTGGAAGTAGAGGATCAAGAGAATCGGTTCTAGGAACCTGGGATTGTTTTCTTTGTCGTCGTCCGTTTATTTTTTTAAATAAATACATACATATATATATAAATGCTCTGCAACAAACACTGACAGTATCCTTCAGTAGAGAAAGTTTCTTATTGGTGAGTACACTCGTAGCGCACGTGTGGGCAGGACGGCAGCTGCTTTGTTTGGGGGCTTAGAAAAGACTACAGGTAACGACTTTCCACGTCTCGAGTGACTGGTGTGGTGCAGTGCACAAGCCACCGAGAGGTACTAACTGAGAAACTTTTTCATGCTTTATGCCTACCTCTTGTAGTTGTTGCAGAGCAAATATAAATTGTAATAAGGTAGCTAGGCCTTGCAAAAACAAATGGAAAAACTTTTAAAAAATAATAATAAAAAGAGCTAGAGTCTAGTATTTATATGAATCTGTGAGAGATTTTTTTTTTTTTTTCCTTTGGTCTCACTGCAATGAAACCAAAAGTGGCTAAGTTTTGGTTTTTAATCGTAGCCATGTATCGAAGGCATCTTTTTGATCACCTCTTGTTGGTTCCATCTTGAACCATTGTTAATCACTGTGCTGTAATTAGTGTAGCTATAATAAATCTTGCCTTTCCTGCTCCTCCTCCGACCCACCCCCATCTTCCTTCACTCTTTTTCAGGGAGGGTTGGGAGTGGTTTTGTTTTAGTGTGAGTGGATGTTTTGATAGTTTATGAGGAAAAATGCATTTCAGACACATTTCACACATGAGCTATTTTCTTACACAGTATGTCTTATTGTTAATAAGAATGTAATTTCATGATACAGGTATTTAATATCTTTTTTAAGTCAGTAAATATTGTAGCCATCAATTTAAAAAAAAATTGCAGTAGAGTATTAAGAGGGGACAGGATAAGTTTTACTCTTAAAATTAATCAGTATCAAACTAAGTCTCCTGTGTGTGTGTTTTGTTTTTCGTTTTTGTTTTTTACTATTACAGTCTAGTCTTATTTAAATTGGATTTTTATATTCCAGTTTGTATGACAAAATAGACTAGATCCGCGCTGGTTGTCAATGCATGCTCTACTTCTCTCTCTCTCCGTGCCGCTAAATTTGCTCGTCAGGTTGTGCTAATTTGTGGTGAACTGGACTTGTTTTTATTTTTTTTTTTTTCAACAAACAAGCAAAAATGTAAGGGACAGTGCATAAGCCTTTTTTCTTTCTCTCTCTCTCTCTCTCTTTTTAATAGTGGTATTCTGCTTTCTCTTCAGAATCAGATGGCATGTTGGCCACATGAATGCCTCCCGCAGGACTAACACTGGCAATGTGGCAGCTTTAAATTCTAAGTTATACCATCTCCATGGCAAAGCATAATGTGTAGCATATTAGCAATAACTATATACTTACAGAAAACAAACACTTTCTCACTCTACTGAGCCAATTCATTTAATGACTAAAGACATGGTTTAAATTGCAATATCTCTCTACGTGTGTATACGCCAGGTATACACATTGTATTTAAGCTTTTCTCTGGGCCAAACTGCCTCATCCATTTCTTTTTTTCTTTTGCCTAATGATAAATTTGTTTGAAGGGCATTTTCTTCCTGAACAAAGGCTTGGCCGCATATTCCTTTCTTTATGTGAAATGGGGAGGATTGTTCCCTGAGGAAAGTCACGCAGTGAAAACCAGTCTAGTTGTGACCCACTACATGTTTCTTCTCTTTTTTAATCGCTATTATGTGAGTTGAATTGTGCCTAGCATGTCTGTAATTTGTTGATACATTTAACGAAGTTTGGTTGATGCCATCATTCTCATTGCTGCAGTGAAACCTTGCTTATTACTTAGCTTTTTGCTGATCTCAGTATGGGCAACGTAACAGCAAAACCAAAATGGCTGGACAGACTTCTCGTGTTTTGTAAATATTTAAAAAAAAAAAAAAAGACTGTTCTGTATTTGTGTCTTATGTGGTAGTGGAAGATTTCCTTAAAATGAAGCTTCACTTAAGCAGAGTGATTCTTTGTTTAACAAGTTTGGGGTGATTCTAAAATAGTAAGAAGTAATGTAAATGTTGAAGGAAGTCTCACAAGAGAACTGTAAGAGTCCAAATTTAATGAACCTCTGAAAAAAATAAAACCCAGTAAGTGTCTAGAATATGCCATGTTTTATTATTTAAAATCATTGTCTTCAGTTTTTTTTGTTCAAAAAAATAAAAGTTTGAATATAATGAAAACATTAGCAATGTGTTTATTTTCCCTGTCTTCTCTTTTATACTTTTAGAAATAATCTAACATGTTTCACTATTCACATCAGGATTACTAGAAGAGTTTTGTCAAATGTTAATTTTGAAATCTTTGTTTTTGTTTTTTAATTTGCTAGAGGACATGTACACTCACCAGAGAGGGAGGGGGGGAGAGAGAGAAAGAAACCCTCAATGGGCATGGGCACACAATAATTCCTTCTCCATTTTTCCATCCTGTCAAGATTTGGGACATACACGCACACGCACGTGCACACACACACACAGTGTGTTTTTTCAAGCTCCTGGGGCTGGGATTCATACCATGTAGTTGGCCATTTAGAATCCAATTCCCTTAACCATTAGGCCATGGCGCTGCCCCTGAACTCTTTCATGTATGCTACAGGCAGTCCTGTGGCTTAAAGTAGGATTTTTTTTGGTTTTTAACAATAGTTGTGCATTAGGATCACCATTTTTTTTTTTTAAAGAGATTTTTGCTATAGGGCATGTGCACTTCCCAGAGACAGAAGGTGAAAAATCACCCCCCATGGGGATGACCATACCACAACCCCTTCTCTGTTCTCCTCTCCGGATTTTGGGCACACACCCACACACTCAGCATGAATTTTAAGCCACTGGGTCCAGGACTTGAACTGTGGTCAACTACATGTAAGTAAGTCCAGTGCTATAACCACCATGCTATCGGCTGACTGCTGATCCTGAGAACTTTAAAAAAAAAAATACCAATGTCAGTGCCATGCATGCAGAGACTGGTTCAGTCATTATGGGCAGGTCCTGAGCTCTGCTTCTACTTTTACTGAGAGGCTGCTGACCCTTAATAACATTTAGAAAAGACCCACTGGTCCCTTTGTCCCCTTTCCCTTAGGCTCACAACTTGAACTCAGCTGTTTAGATCTTGCCACTCCAAGGCCTAGGAAAAGTAAATCCAAGAAAGGGGATGGAATAGGACTGCTGCCTGAGACCTAGAGAAAAGATGGACTAAGCTTCATGCACCAAGCAAGACCAGCTTCCTTCCAACTGGAGGCACTCTCAGGCCTATTGTACCACCAGCCCATGAGGAAAGGATTCTCTCAAATAGCAAATCCAGACAAGAGATCTGCTATAGACTAAATACTTGTGTGCCCCCCAAATTTCTTTGTTAAAACCTAATCTCCAGTGTGAAAGTATTTCAAGGTAGGGCCTTTGGGAAATGATTAGGTCATGTGGTTTCTCTGCTCCAGATAGAATGAATGCCATTATAAAAAAGACCCCAGAAAGTTCCCTTGCCTCTTCCACTCTGTGAGGACACAGCAAGAAGATCCATCTGTGAACTAGAATGTGCCCTTATCTTAGACTTCCCAGCCTCCATATTTCTAACCCCAAAGTTTAACAAATGATCAACAACAAGTTAAGTAAGTCTTAGAATTGTATGGCTAAACAAATCTTGGAGATCTCATGCCCATATTTTTTAAGTTTTTTTTTTTTTAATTTTTTTTTTAAAGATTTGTGTATTTATTTTCATTTTGACCAGAAAGAGAAAACAAGCCACCAAGTCCAGGACTCAAACTGCAGTCGGCCATGTGGGAGTCATTGCCTTTAACCACCACACCACCTGCTGGCCCCTCTCACCCTTGTTTTATAGTGATGAAGCTGAGATACCCACTAAAGGGGTTGTAATCATAAGTGTTAAGTAGCTATGGTATTGGTGGCACGGCTGGGAGAAGATCGTAATAGGCAAAGTAGTTTCTATGTATAACAACAAACTTGTTATCTAAACCTTAAGTTTTTTCTTTTAATTTTGTTAGGGGTTATGTGTGCTTACTGGAGAGAGACGGAGAGGAAAAGTGAAAAAGCTCAATTTCTTCTACATTTCTCCTTCCAGGATTTTGGGCACCCATACACATGCACCTGGCATGCTTTACGAGTAAACAGGTTCAGGACTCATGGTCGGCCATATGGGATCCAGCTACCTTATTTGTAAATCTTAAAAATTGTTACAGAGAGGGACCAGCAGTTAGCATAATGGCTGTGTCGCTGGACTCCCATGTAGTTGACTGCAGTTTGAGTCCTGGACCCGGCTTAAACTCACACCAGGCATGTGTGCATACGTGCCCAAGATCCTGAGAGGAGAATGGAGGAGAAGGGATTGTGGCATGGCCATCCCCCCTGTGGGGTGATTTCTCACTTTCTATCTCTCTGCCTCTGTCTTTCTGGCAAGTGCATTCGCCCTATAGCAAAAACCTCTCCAAAAAAAGAAAGAAAAAAATTGTTCCAGAGAGCCAGATTCAAGCCTGTAGAACAAGAATGTAAATTACTATAAAGTAAGTTTAAGGTAAAATGCTTTACATATAGTATTGTAGAGAAGATTAATGCATACCATAAGACTAAAATCATGTTCAGACCTGACATTTACCATGAACTAGTGCTTGAATTATTTATTTCAAATTATAGTTTATGACTATATCAACACAATTTTTTGTATATCAACACGATTTTTTGTGGAAAGACAAGCGCATTGCAAAATAGTGAACAATGATCCCTACAGAGGTACAAAGGTATGCATTTAATTGAGCTGTTTGCTATAAAAATTATGTCTGCAAGACAGTTTAAAATAATTATCCGCATTTTGTACAAATATACCACATGTACCATTATCAGATCTTTAAGCAACTAGTTGCCTAAGAACCAAAATGTGCTAATAAGCCTTTCATGTGACCCCTCCCGTGTTCTGGGAGAGATTGGCAGAGACTCTGGGTGTCCTTGGAGTGGTTACAAGTGGCTATGTTGTTTAGAATATTAGTCATCAAGACATCCATGCTAATAGCATGGACTTGTAATTCTCTATTTTCAACAAATTAGGAATTTCCAACAAATTAGGAGTACCATTTATTTCTGCACAGGACAATGGCTGGACTACCCTCCCTCCCCCCCACCGCCTGCACACCTCCCATGGCAGTCAGACCACCTTTTGTTTTCTGACCCGTGTCACCAGCCCTGGTTCTATAATCTCGTCTCACGACAACCCAACACCGGGCCAGCCAGAGGAACATGGGCAGAATGCTGGAGAGGCCCCCGCTGACTGCGATGGGGCTGAGGCTCAGGAGCACGGAAAGGTGTGGGGCTAAAGAAAAAATTCCTAGACGTGTGATGACAGAGGACAGAGTGTGATTTCCAGAGACAGAGGGTCACCTGTTGAGAATCCAGGATACCTATTGAGAGATGCAGAGAGAAGAACCTCGAGGAAAACAGGCCAAACCTCCATCAGACTGAGCTCTTTGGTAGCGGTGTGCCTTTTGGCATCTTATTTCAACTTTCTGAGCGCACGGGTATTACCATGGGGGCTGGGGGCTGTTGAAGCACCTCCTGAAGCCGCAGAGGATGGTTAGATGAAGTATATAAAGCATAGTGAGGTTAGCGCCTTTCCCCCTTTGAAAGAGGAAAGAAGTAGTAAAAGGAGGGCCTGGCAAGACAGATTTCAGGAAGGAAGTGGTCCTGGGAGGGGTCATGGGCCGTAAAGAATGAAAACAGGCAGGGGAATCCCAGAGCGGGCTCACTCCCTGTACCCTCATTGGTATTGTTGGATCTTAGTTGTAAGATATATTTTCTTCAGTGAGAAGGAAAAGGGGTGAGACTTTCAGAACAAGAAATCGTTCCTGACCTCAGCAGAGAGCACTCACAGGATTTTTGTGCCAAAGAAATACCTTTTCTAAATTGACTTTTTCCGTGGTCTCAGCCAGCCAGGATCATGGGCACACACATGTGTACCCTTCATGTACAGGGAGACCCTGGAAGCAAACTCAAGATGACCTGTTGTGGCTTCAGCATTGTGTAACATTATGTTGGTACTGTGCCATTTGGGCCGGCACCAGGGGAATATTTAAAGAATGGCTGCTCCTGGGAGCTTGTTTAGTAGAGTGGAAGGAGCAGAAACCAGATTAATTGGATTTCAGAGTATGGGAAGAAGAAATGAAAGCTAAGGGCACAGATATTTGGAAACTGCAATAATGATGCATCCTACTCAAGGACCCAATAATGCTAGGCTGAAAATTTAAAAAAAAAATTCTGACTTGACTCTCTCAGGAATACAAACCAGAAAGTGATCTGGAAGGGTAATCTTCCTTGTTAACCTTCAAATCTGTAATTGATCCCAGACTAATATCCCTACAACCTGAGCAGCATCAGTGCAGAGCTTTAGGCACCCACCACTGCCCACAATCTGTTTTTTGTTGTTTTTTTTTTTCTTTCACAATCTGTAGGTTTTCATTGCTTACTTTTGCCTGTTTGATTTACTTCCTGTTTGGCTTCTACATTGACTTAGAACTTAACCTCTGACTGGCTTCCTTTACTGACCTCATGTTCCACAGTATTACTCAAAGTCAGGTGGTCCTTACTTTTTTATTCTCATTTCACACCCCATCTCCAGCCTCACCTCTCCCACTGCCTCCAACCCTGTGCCTCACTGACACCAGACCACTCTGTCCTCCCAACAGAACCTTGCTTCTGTAAGGTTTCCTTGGCCAACAAGTTCCTTGCTTCATGCTTCTGTAGGGTTCCTTGCTTCAGTAGGGTTTCCTTGGCCAACAAGTTCCTTGCTTCTGTAGGGTTTTCTTGCTTCTGTAGGGTTTCCTTGGCCAACAAGTTCTCCCTTTCTGTCCATCTTCACCATCTCTGCCTATTGGAATGCTCTTCATCCTTTAAACCTGG